TAGATAGATAGATAGATAGATAGATAGATAGATAGATAGATAGATAGATAGATAGATAGATAGATAGATATTTACTCATCACACATCACAACCTTATTGGAGGAAACTTTGGTTTGTTAGAAGAAGGCTTCCCATTACTTGTAACCTTCTGCATATGCTGAGCTATGTAGTACTCCTTTTTAGCAACCAAAGTCAAAACAAATTGATAAAGTTCCCAACACACAGTTAACTGGTTAAGGAAGACTTAGAACAATACCGGTTATCACCATGTTTTTAAAAGATTCCTTTAAACTGAAAGGGGTTAAGGGCTTGTTTTAGGTTTAAATAATCTTCTCTGGCCATCTGAGTTGGATATTCTCTCTCCCTGCTGCCTATACAGAAAAGAGTGCTGGCTAAGGATTTCTGGAAGTTGAAGTTCATACATCTTCAAGTGGCCAAGATTAAGAAACGCTATATAGATCAGGGGTGTCAAACTTGTGTCGTCACGGTGTTGCCACGTGTCGCATTGTGACTTTTTTCCCCTTTGCTAAACCGGACGTGGGCGTGGCCAGCAGGTGATGCATCTGACCCACTGGCCATGAGTTTGATAACGCTGGTATAGGGAATAGCAGTTTGCAGGACTTAAAAACAAATCAAATGATATTAAAATCATACCACCACTATTCTGCAAGTACTGGGATTTAGTAGCTCTTAATGTCTCTTTGTGGTCAATTGCATACAGTCCCCTGTGGAGGAAACATGACCGCCCAAAATGGAACGATCTACTCCCCCGGCTTTCCCAATCAGTATCCCAATTCCCAGGACTGCACGTGGATATTTGTGGTGTCTTCCGGATATGGCATCTACCTCAACTTTACCCTGCTGCAAACAGAGCCGTACAATGACTTCATCACTGTCTGGTGAGTGGGATTGGGAGCTGAGGGCTCCCTCTGAGCCCAGCTTTTTCAGTAGGTGTTGCTATAACCCTGTTATAGCTATGTTCTCTTTACCCTTATGACATGACAGCAGATTTGACAGTGAGGAGGTTGGGGAGGAACATGGGCCAGTCCTGCAGTCTGGGGGAGGCTCCGACAAGGGCTCTGTGTCAGAGTCAGAGATGGGGCCAGAGCCGTATGCCAGTTATCAGCTTCAGAGTCAGACATCAGCGGGAGCCTGTTCCCAGAGCTGCCAGATGAAGGGAACAACTAAAGAACAGGGGTCTTTAGTTGGAATAAGGCCAGAGGTGGACGATGAATGGCCCCTCCCAGAGGAAATAAAAGAGGAGCGAAAGGGGAGTGGAGTTTGCTGGAGACAATTAGTTTGCTTAATTGGTTTGTGATTCTCCGAGGCTCCTTGCCAAGTTTTGCAGATATCGGCCTGTCAGCTCTCCAAGCCAGATAAGGTCTGTGACTGTAAATCCTCCCTGGAAAGCCTTTGCTGGATGTGAATGAGCAGAATTCACAGTCACTTAATAAAAGGGTTTTTTGTCAGGACCAAGATTTGCTTCTTGGAAAGCCTCGGTCAGAACAATGGTGACAGTGGCAGTAATGAAATTGCTTGATTTGGAAAATGGATATCACGGAGAAACTTGGAAAGATGTCCTGTTGTCAATATACAACAGTTATTGTCTACTCTCATTTCCATGGTTCTGAGGTCCAGTGAGGATCCTCCAACCTCTAGATCAGAAATCCAGAAGAAGAAGCAAGCTTGTGACCAGAGAAGGACCAAGGTCTGAATAGGAAGAGCTGCAGCGTTGATTTCACATTGAAGATTTGTATTGTGTTACTTATTTTCTGTGCTGGATTATGCTAATAGTCTTTCAGTCATAAAGTCTTTCCATTATTTAGTGGTTAGAAACCATTTTGCATAGCAAAAGCTGAGTGGCAATGCTGGAATGCTTTTTACAGTCAAATTTAAAATAGGCATTTTGTATTTTTTTCATTAGTTACAATTTATTGCAAACTAAAATTATTTGACAAAGGTTAAGTACAGTATATGTAAGTATGTACAAATTCTTTTTTCCCCATTAACTGTGTTTCTAGACTGGGAATCGAGACATCTTCAAGTGCATAGCTAGGCAAATATTCCAAATAAAATAAGAAAGAAAATAGGAAAGGTGGCTTGTATAGGTCTTGTGGCCTGTGAGCAGATCAGGAGAACTTTGAGTCAGATTGACTCACTGGGAGTATCTGATTGGCTTTCCAAGCATAATCTGGCTCTTGCATCAAGAGGATTGTCAGACCTTTTAAAAGTCTCAGATGGAATTGTCTTCAGCCAACAACCTGGGTCAGCAACCCATGGCTCTGGAGCCGCATGTGGCTCTTTCATCTCTCGGCTGCGGCTCCCTGTTGCTCAAAATGCACCAATGTGTGATACCTGCCAGCACACGATTTATTGAGCTTTTCAACCCCTGGTAGGCCAACCATGGATAGATCCAAGAAAAGAAAAGTTTCAGAAGAAAATCGAACCTTTAATTCAACTACATATGCTAGTTCTGTGGCCGCTCAGGAAATAATCAGGCATGGGAAGGATTTTGTGGCTCCCAGTGTTTTTTTTTTCTGTGGGAAATGGGTTCAAATGGCTCTGAGTGTTTAAGGTTGCCGACCCCTGATCCGGTTGGTGTACAAACTCTGATCCATAATGCTCCCATTCTTAACCATGTTTTTTCTGTTACTCTTTTGTATTTCTTTCCCTTTCTCTTCAGGGATGGTTCTCAAGAGACAGCTCCCCAGTTGGGGGTTTTCACGGGACACTCAGTGAAGAAAGCCACCCAGAGCTCTTCCAACCATGCTCTGATGAAGTTTCATAGTGATGCAGCCAATGGAGGCCTCTTTGTCATCCATTTCCATGGTGTGTACAGCTCACTGGGGTGCAAGGGTTTGTTGTCATGCTTGCTTTGTAACCTTTTGCATGCAGCAACGATGGTTCAATTAGATATTGCTTACGTATTCAACTAAGGTTTATCAGGTGCCTTCTCTGCCATACCACTGTGCCTGATGTAACATAAAAACCACTAATTTGGACCAGTAAGTAGCCCTTATCCCTCTGATTGGGTTTGCAGAGGATGCTTAATCAATTTGATTAGAAGCCGAAGGCTGCATGCATTGATTATTGTTAAGATTAGAGATGGGTTTTTTTGTAGCTTAACTCTGCCCTGCTGAATTAGTTTGAGATCCCAGGTATTGTGCAAATCAAGCAAATGGGTTAATTCGATAATCAAGTTGTGTGAACAGTGCCACGAAGAAATTCAAACACTGAGTGAACAGCTGTGTAGTTGGCATAACCAAGAAGTAAGAAATATTTTTGATTTACAAAATAAAAAGAATATATTTCTTCTGAAAAAAAATACCATTGAGAGCCAATGAATCTTCAAAATGTTGAACTACGGAAGGTTACAAAAAGGAGAAAATTGGTTTCCCCATCACCACCCAGGGAGCAGGTTCTGTTTGTTGTGGAATTGATTTTCTAGAGATTCAGCTTCTTGCTTCTTTCTTTGTTCATTATTTATTTACTCATCCATTCAATTTATATGGCCACCTATCACAACAAATTATTCCAACTTTGGCCAAGGATCTATAATACAAAGATATATATTAAAGTCCCATAGCTAGGGATTTGGTACTCTCATGCACTTAATTTATTTCTTTTCTCTTCCCAGCCTATCAACTTTCTAAGTGCCAACCCCCAACTATGGTCCCTAATGCTGAAATCATCACTGAAAATGAGGATTACAATATAGGTATTGCATGCATGATTTTCCTAGTGTTTTCTCTGGATGTAGACAGGTGGTATAAATCACAGAAGGATAGTGTTCTCACCATTCCCACCCCAGTCTTAGTTCAATGTCTGAAATAGGCACCCATAACTTATTTGCAATAAATAAGTAAATAATTTTTCCTGTTCTTGCCACACACGGTTCAGCATCTTAGTACATTGGAGGCTGTACTCCTTATTTATTGTAAGTGCCAGGAATCTATTGGATGGACCTAGAATCATATTAAAGAGAACACACAACAACTGCATTCACCCTTGCTCTTCTATCACTGTCTTTACCTGCTGTGGCTAAGAGGAGGAAGATTGTGCAGCTTAAAATGAAAGTCAGGGTTAGCTTTTATAAGAAACTTACCTGAGGAGTGAATGCTTCAATCCAGGAAGACATTAAAGCCGGAACATTAAATTGTGACGTTCCTCATATGATTGTAATCCACAAAGCCCCTCTTGAGACATGCTCAACTCCTGGCAATAATATGGGAGATATTCAGAGCAGCTGTTTGCCATTGGGTTGTTGTTGTTTTTTCAAATTTCCTGCAGTAGTTTTTTTTTTTTTTTCAAATGTTCTGGACTTACAACCCTTGGATGTTCTGGTGGTCTCCCTTCCAATTACAATACTAATCAGGTCCTAGTTTAATTAGCTCTTGGGGGGGATCAGTTGATATTAAGGTAGTTCACCCCTGATTTTGCAGCTAAAATGACTCATCCCTGATTCGAAATCTTGGCTTGCATGTCAAAGGTGGGTTGGATTTTCAGCGTTCCATTTTGCTTAAAAGAAAGCTATCCTCACTTCCAGACTTGCTCTTGAATGATAGCTGTGGGACCAGAATACAACAACACCTTCACTCTTAGGCAAGCAGAAAATTAACAAGACAGGATGAACTTTTCAGCCTTTCAGTCTTAAAAAAAAGGTAGTTTGGATATAAAAAATAAATGTTACCCACCAGTCAAAATTCTCGCATTGCATTTAGTGGCAAGTAAGTGTAGATAAGGTTCACAGTGGCTCAGTGACTAAGACACTGAGCTTGTCGATCAGAAAGGTCAGCAGTTCGGCGTTGCGAATCCTAGCACCGAGTGAGCGCCTGTGACTTGTCCCAGCTTCTACCAACCTAGCAGTTTGAAAGCATGTAAAAAAATGCAAGTAGAAAAATAAGGACCACCTTTGGTGGGAAGGTAACAGCGTTCTGTGCGCCTTTGGCGTTTAGTCATGCCGGCCACATGACCACAGAGACGTCTTCGGACAGTGCTGGCTCTTCAGCCTTGAAACAGAGATGAGCACCACCCCTAGAGTCAGAAATGACTAGAACATATGTGTGAGGGGAACCTTTACCTTTATGTTTACCTGAAAAATGACTGTATATTCTAAATATGTCCACTTACATTCATCAGGGTAGATTTTTACTTGTACACCAGATGTGTACAGAGTTTAAAAGATTTGAAAGATTAATGAGGATAAGGGGATAACTGGAAGTGATTCACAAGAGAATACCGGTAGCAGATGACACGGCTTTTCTGATGTGTAGTGCTACACGCCAGGGAGAAATATTGCAAAGTGATTCAGCTAAAGATTTCTCCCTAATGACACCACCAAGTATGCTGCAAAGATATCAGATAAAAATGTGCCAGAGTATGAAGCAGTGATAGGGCCTATGCACTGCCCCCCACTCCACCCCCTACTTCCCTTGACATGTCTTTTGGCTAATTCAAATCACTAACGCTTTAAAGTAGTGTTTACAACTTTGGCAATTTTAAGATTATAGCCATCAATTTGCCAGCTGGGGAATTCTGGAAGTTAAAGTCCATACCGTTGAGAAACATTACTCTAAAGTCATTTTCTGGACCATGAGACAAAAGATACATTCCTTCATTTAATAGCAGATGGTCCTTCCCATTTGGCAAGATGACAATTCGGGAATGGCAGTTTTAGTCCACATGCTTTTTCCTCTCCCCTTACTTGAATTAACTTTATAGAATTCTGATCTCCTTCCTCACATCTACTTCACTTGTAATCATGATCCATCCAATGAGCCTTGTTCAAAATATGTCCTTTTGTACTCTTAGAAAACGCCTGGATTCCTCTTTGTTCCTTTTCTTAGGTGATATTATTAGGTATCAATGTCTTCCTGGTTTCACCTTGGTTGGAAATGAGATCTTGACATGCAGGCTTGGTACCCACCTCCAGTTCGAAGGCCCTCCCCCAACTTGTGAAGGTCAGTGACTTTGATGGAAATGCGAAAAAACCCAGAATTCATGGCAGAGAGTAAATAATACAGTGTAAGGATATCTTGCTATTTAATACTGAATATACAAGACAGACAAATATATTAAGACCTATGCTGTGGACACCTAGAAAAGGTGTCAAAAAAGACTGCTCCTATAAAAAATAATATAGATGATGATGTTGATGATTGTTGTTGTTGTTTTTATTGCCAAAAAATAAATCAGTCTGCATCACCAGCTTCTAAAGGAGAACCAGACTTTAGTCTAGAAAGAGAACCTAAAGTAAACATGGCAAAGGTGCCACAAGAGATCATTTTGATTGCATCGCATAGTTTATATTTGCAAATGTTTTTTTTTTTTTTTTGCAGAAGCAATGTGACAATCCATTTCATATTCACAAACCCAGTATAGACAAGGAGGAGCATCTGTGAGGCCTATGAATACTAAGTTTTAAAAGGTCCTGAGATAGTCATGGAAGTAAAGTCTATTGCTAAGTAGAGGAAGTTGTGGCCCGCCAGCAGCCAGCGGAGCTGGCAGCTGATTCGGACAGTGAGGAGGTTGGGGAGGAACATGGGCCAATCCTGGAGTCTGGGGAAGGCTCTGATGAGGGCTCTGCATCAGAGACAGAGAGGGGGCCAGAGCCGTATGCCAGTTATCAGCTGCCTTCAGAGTCAGACATCAGTGAGGCAGACGAACAGCTGAAGCCTGTTCCCAATGTGCGCATGTGCAGAGTTGTCGGACAAAGGGAACAGCTAAAGAACAGGGGGCGACTTGGGAATAAGGCCACAGACGGACAATGAATGGCCCCTCCCAGAGGAAATAAAAGAGGAGCGAAAGGGGATTGGAGTTTGCAGGGGACAATTATTTCGCTTAATTGGTTCGTGACTTTCCGAGACTCCTTACCAAGTTTTGCAGATATCGGCCTGGCAGCTCTCCAAGCCAGAGAAGGTCTGTGACTATAAATTCTCCTTGGAAAGACTTTGCTGGATATGAATGAGCAGAATTCACTAAAAATTAATAGAAGGGGTTTTTGTCAGGACAACGAGTTTGCTTCATGCTCTTGGGAAGCCTCGGTCAGAACAGATGTAACAAAACAGTTTCTCCCAGTTAAATAGTCAAATAGGTGATGGGAAAGACTTCAAATAGAGCCCTAGTGAACTAGTGTAAGCCAAAACAGGCAATCTTTACCAATCTGCGGAATAACCTCCAGAATTTACTAGCCTTCCATTCTGAGAATTCAATCTCATTGGAGATCTGCTAGATGAGTTAGCCAGATTCCTCTATTTTCTGATCCCAGTTAACAGCTCTATGACTAATTTTCTTTCACAATGACATAGAGTGACACTCTTTGCTTTGCTTTTTTTTGTGTGTGTGTGTCAATCAGTTCACTGTCCAATGAATGACGTCCTCCGCGACTCCACAGGAGTGATCCTAAGCCCATCCTTCACAGGCAGCTATCCTCACTTCCAGACTTGCTCTTGGATGATAGCAGTGGAACCAGAGTACAACATCACCTTCACTGTGGAATATTTCTTGAGTGAGAAGAAGTATGATGAGTTTGGGATATTTGATGGTGAGTCATAAAGATTAGGTAGTTTTGGAGATGAGATGGGGTGGGGGTGGGGTAATTACCAGAAAGACTGCTTAAACTACATACCATATTTTTCAGAGTATAAGACGCACCTCCCCCCCCAAAAAAGAGGGTGCGTCTTATACACTGAATGTAGCCCCACCCATCAGCCCCAACCCTTTGGCCTCTGCCTCCCAGAAATTTACTTCCTTGCAGCAAACAGGGAAAATGGGGCTTGCAGAGGCTGCAATAGTCTATAGCAATCCCTGCAGCCTGAAACAGCTGATGATTGGCAGGCCCAAGCTGAAATTGAAAGTGAAACTTGCTGTTTGGTCCACAAAGCAAATTGCTGGGATGCAGAAGCAGATTTTTTTTTCTTATGCTAATCAGGCTGTTTGTTGTTTGCTGCAAGGAGATAAGTCAATAACTACAAAAGCCTATAGAATATTCAAATTATTAGACTTATTTTTTAAACTTCTTTATTATTGTTCTAGATAACAAAATGAAGAAGCTTTTTAAAACTAAATGCTTGATCTGAAGAGGCCCAGTGCTATTGGATCTTCTTTTAAATAGCAGAAAATAACATATACTTCCAGAAAGCACATCAATTTTAACTGTACAAGTATAGTCTGAAATGTAACGCTACAAACAGTGTATGTTGTCTGTACTGTTTGCTGTTTGTTGCAAGGAGGCAAATTGCTGGAAGGCAGATATTTTTCCCTTGTTTTACTCCCCAAAAGCTAAGTGCGTCTTATACTTCAGAGCATCTTATACTCCGAAAAATATGGTAGTTTCTTTTAGGAGTGAAAGGTGGTGCAGAGGAAACAGGGCAGGACTCAGATTGCAGTACTGTAGCTACTAGAATTCGGCCCAGTGGGAAAGAAAAAGCAACTGATAGAGGAGACTATTGGTAGCTCAGGGTTGAAATGAGAGGTCCTTATCCAAACTAGTGATATCATCAGTGCTGGAGAAAACAATATCAGGTGGCCAGTATTATTAATCATGAATTATATGATTGGTAGCATCATACATTAGGCTATTCCTCCATGGATAAGACCTCAATTGCCCTGGGGAGAGGAAAATACGTTATAAGCTTATAGAATGATAAAATGTCTTGCAAAGACTAAATAAAACATTTTTTTCTGATTCCATGTTGCTAAAAGACACAGTTACTCATTTAATGTGATGCCATTAGAAAAGAACATATTATTTCACCTTCTGCATATTTAACTTTGGAGAGTCCCTGCCAGAGCACCTAGTTTAGTAGGCTGTAAACTTTAATGTGAAGTGCCTTTCTTCAGCCTTACAAGCAATTATGCCCTCTTCCTTCATCTTTTCCCCTTTCATGTTGAAGAAAACTGCATTTAGTCTTCAAGGTCCTTCTTTCCAGATTCTCCCCAACAAATGATTACCGTATCTTCCAAATCGTGGTCTCTTGCTGAGCCCTTTGTTAACTTCCCTAGATCAATTTATTCATAATTAGGAAGATTGATTAGGAACGATTCCTCTGTCAGTCACTGTTATAACTAGGACAGCTGAAAGAAACATCTGCCTTCGGCATTTCTGAATTCTAGGGTTTCGAAACTTGTAAGAAAAGAAGGAAGGCTGTTGCAATCATCTCTGCTCTCTGGACTTCTATATAACCTTCCCCGACTCCATAGCCCCTCCCCCGCCCATATATATTTAATCAGAACCAGCTTTACCCCAACCAGAGTAGTCTTGGGTTTGTGGGGATTGTCACCTAGCAGAATTGGTAGTGAATTGGAAAATTCCTCACTGGGTAGATTTGTACAACTTTCATTGGGCTAAGTGCAAAATGATGCTTTGAATGTCATGTCACAAGCCTTTCTCCAACATGGCCCAAAGACAGGTAAAAAGAACTTTACAAGTGAATGTGTGTGAACATGTAAATAAATCTAAATAGTATATACAATTAATGTGATTGTCAAGAGTTAGTCTATCTTATCCCAACCTTTCTTACCAGGGTCCTTGCTGCAGAAATTAAATAAGAGGAGATTCTGCTAGTGCTTCTGAGTTAGCCCCAAAAGTATGAGTTATAAGGACAGGAAATAAACAACTAAGAAGAAATAAATGGATTCTCACAATTCTTTGAGCAGGTTTTTCTTTCTTAATCTCTATTATTTTAAGACGTGTGGACTTCAGTTCCTAGAATTCACCAGCTGATATTCTGGAGGAATATTGAACTTGAAATCCACATATCTTAAAGTTGATGATGTTAAGAAATACTGTACCAGAGACTGCATACATTAAGAAATTTGGGAATAAATATCAAACCACATTGTTTCATGCACAGTCACATAGGAATTTCATTCAGTTGAGAAAGATAGATCTCACTGGCTTGGAAGTTTGTGACAGCCCCCCTCCCCAAATGTGGCAGGCTATAGATCTGTGATGGCCAATCTATGGCACGCATGCCAGAAGTGGCACACAGAGTCCTCGCTATGGGCACTTGTGCTATTGCCAGCTGCTCTTCTGCTTTCCAGCATGTGCATATGTGCCAGCCAGCTGGTCTTCACACAGACTGGAGCACCGGAAACCTGAACACAGCTGGCACATGCACAGGCAGGAAACCTGCACAGAAGCATGTGCACAAGCACCATGCACAAAATGCACACTTCCAATTCCGAACCAGTAGCAAAGGCAAGAGAAAGCCATTACTGGTGCTCATGCATGTGTGTATGTGCACCGAGCACCTGGTCTTCAGGTTTCTGGCATGCACGCACACATGCATGAACACCAGTAATGGTTTTCTCTTACCTTTACTACCGGTTCAAAACCGGGACCATGCACATGCACACAGTTGCTTCACCCGTGCACGGTGCTTCTGTGCATGCGCAGAAACATCTGTGCATGCGCAGAAACTTCTATCCCTGCACAGAGTGTCAGTGATGACATCTGGGCAGGTGTGTGGAGCCGCTACTGGTTCACCCAAACTGGGACGAACTGGCAGAATACCACCTCTGGCAAGCACATGTTCCAATTTGGGTATTCGGTGCTGAAAAGGTTTGACATCCCGGCTATAGAGTATCTTGGGCTTGGATACTGTTGGGTTCTGTATATTCTAAAGGAACTGAAGAGAGTGTTGACCCTTTCAAGCTTTGGCTCAATCCAATTAAGGCTTTTCATGGGCTCATGCTCTCCTTTTCTGCTGTTTCTACAGGGTCTTCAGGTCAAAGTCCACTCTTACTGTCCCTAAGTGGAAATTACTCTGCACCGCTGCTGGTGACCAGTTCAGGAAACAGAGCCTATCTCCACTGGTCCTCTGATCATGCCTACAGCAGGAAGGGTTTCCGCATCCGATATTCTGGTGAGTAGGGTGCGCAAAAGAAGGCTAATCATCGTTGCATAAAGAAGCAGGGGTAAGCTTTATTTTAAAATGCTCCTTCTTGACTAACTTTTTTGGTCTTCTAAGACTAGAAATGCATCTCATTATTTTTCCCATAGAAAAATTACCCAACCTGTTTGGCTTTTTTTAAAAAAAATTGTTTGCTTTGCTTTTGTTGTTTAATTAATTCCTTCCTTTCGCCCACCCTTTCGGTCACTGAGTACGAAGTCCTGGATTAATGCAATTTGCCTCTGAATAAACATGAACCAAATTGTGCTGTAAATTGAATCTCATTCGGGGTTACGGCTTGCACTTTTTGTAGTAATTAATTTAGCGAAGGTATTTATTATTAATTATAGCTGTATTGAGAAAGAATGCACCATGCTAATCTCGAAGTAATACTATGGTGTGTAAAACCAAAAGCCGTTATTTATTGCAGGCACACTAATTTTGTTGGCAACTGTTTAATTTTATAAACACTGCAATCCAGCTTTTCAGTTCACCATAAAACTTTTCGCGTTGTGGATCCTATTTTCTTAAAGTGAGAATCGCTGAATGAGAAATAAGATGGTTTATTGCAATATGGCTCAATAGAGGTTATTGTTATTTAGGCGACTAATCCTTGCTTACACAACTAAATCGTCAACAAGTACTTTTCTGGGAGAAATTGTTATTGTCATAGGAACTTATTTTGATCATTTGATCTAAAATGCAGTGTTGGTTTATAACTGGGAACCATTCTTTCATGGTCATATGGAGATGACATAACTGTGAAATAATTATAGGTACTATACCAAAAGATTCTTGGATGACACTTAGAAAATCTGTGAATTGACAAAATTTCCATCTGTCAATTCAAAAGGCCACACTGCTTGAATTCTCACATATCTTATGCTGATACATTACGACATCCTAGATTCTTGGGAAAAACTTAGAATAGAATATAGAATAACAGAATTGAAAGGGACCTTGGAGGTCTTCTAGTCCAACTCCCTGCTCAGGCAGGAAACTCTACACCACTTCAAATGGCTATCCAACATCTTCTTAAAAACTTCCAGTGTTGGAGCATTCACAACTTCTGGAGGCAAGTTGTTCCACCGATTAATTGTTCTTACTGTCAGGAAATTTCTCCTCAGTTCTAAATTGCTTCTCTCGATTAGTTTGATGCTAAAAACTGACTACTGTGACTTCACATTGTGCTGAAGAGATAATAATAATAAAAGTAGTCCTCGATTTGTGACCACATTTGAGCCCTAAATTTCCATTAAGTGAGTCAATTGTTAAGTGAACTTTGCCCCATTTTATGATCTTTCTTGCCACAGTTCTTAATTGAATCACTGCAGTGATTAAGTTAGTGCCATGGTTGTTAAGTGAATCTGGCTTGACCATTGACTTTGCTTGTCAGAAGGTCGCAAAAGCAGTCACGTGACCCTGGGACACTGCAACCATCATAAATGTGAGTCAGTTGCTCAGTGTCTAAATTTTGATCACATAAACTATGGGTATACTATATCGGTCATAAATATGAAAAATGGTCATAAGTCACTTCATTGCCATAGTAACTTTGAACCAGTGGTGGGTTGAAGGTGGTACGCCCTGGTATGGGTGTAGCACCGGATACCGTTCCGGTACAGTGTTCCGAAGGCTCCACCGCCCGCCTGAGCTCCTTACCAGTGTTTAAAGGCTTCTGCACTTGCATGGCACATATAGTGCCTGAGCAATGCTCCGCAGAGCAGCTGGAGCGTCGTGGAGGCGCTAAAATGCATGTGCGCACTGCGCACATCCATGAGGATGCCGTCGGGCCCATTCCAACCGTAACGTTTGGAACGGGATTTGAAACCCACTACTGAATTTTATTTATATGCTGCCCTTTTCCCCCGAAGGGGACTCAGGGCGGCTCACAACTCAACCAGGGAAGGGGGATACAAACAGAAAATTAAAACGACACAAAAACAATACATAATTTAAAATACACAACAGTCATACCAATTCGAGACGGGGGCCAATAGTTCTTTAGCCCCAGGCCTGTCTGAATAGCCAGGTTTTAAGGGCTTTGCGGAAGGCCTGGAGGGTGGTGAGTGTTTGAATCTCCATGGGGAGTTCGTTCCAGAGGGTCGGAGCAGCCACAGAGAAGGCTCTCCTCCGGGTAGTCACCAGTCGGCATTGGCCAGCAGATGGAATT